TACATCTCTCTCTCTATATATATATATATATATATATATGTGTGTGTGTGTGTGTGTGTGTGCATGTATGCATATGCCTCATTCCGCAACCTAGGTTTGACTGCTTTGGACAATTCCACCTAATCTTTGTCAGACTGTATCGCCGGGCACAAACAAAGTCGGAAGATGATATTTCGACGGGTGCGGCCTACCGGCGTGAGGACAGCACTGCCGGTCCGAGAGGTTGGCCCGTTAGAGGCCGGACGGGATCCGTCTTCCAATGGTGGTACCGGATTTAGGGGTTCAACTCCGTCTTCTTGCGTCCGCCTGTCAGGCAGATTGGATGGGTTGTGACGGTTGTGGGGAGAATTGTTCGCTCGAAGTGTGCTGCGGCAGCAGAGGCTGCAAAATCAGATACCGAGGCGTAGAGGTTTCTGTGCGTCGACAATAAATTATCTCGACCCTCAGCCAGTCGAAAGCGATTTCATTAATCATTAAAATTGGTCCAAATAATTAGGAAAAGCCTAAAACTCATCAAATGCCGCCTACTTGGCCAAATTTCCCGCTAGCCATCGCCGCGGAAGATGGTCAGACGAGAAGCAGATGGGACAGCCGAAACACTTGTCGATAGCCCAACACACCATCGATCAAGCCTCGTCAGCTCTATGCATAGACAGGAAAAAGTATCAACTTTTAATTATAAGAAAGAAAATACCGGGTCAATTAATGATATGATTTCTTAGCCTTTTTAATACTTTAAATGACAATTTATTTAATTATTCATTTTATATCTATCCGACTGTTTGCTTCACTTTCTACAGTTTTCTGCATTCCGCAGCTGTCACTTATACATTCATCCATTATCATCCATCAATTTTTTTCATTCATCTATCCGTCCAACGGAATATCCATTGCAATTTCAGCCATATAATCATGCTTTCATCTATTTTATCCATCATCCATCACTCCATACTTTCAATTTCTTAAGCGCCATTTTTTGCTTATCAAGTGCAAATAGCTATCCACCCTTCCATCCATCCATCATACGGTTCAATTTTAAATCCAACAAAATCATCTTACCTCTCTCCATTCAGATAAGTCTATCTATCTATTTCATAGGTTCTATTTTCCCCCATGCTTCCACTCTTTACCACATTTATTCTTACTCTCAGTCCGAATTGCTTCTTCACTTCATCCGGGTACACATACATCATTCACTCCGTCCTTCTACCCTTTTACACACTGATTTATATATCCTACCGATACTTCCCAATTTCCCGGAATATCTGTCCATATTCTCCTGTATAACCACATAGTTATACACCAAACCAGCAATTTGTCCAAATTTTACATCCATTTCGATTATTCTTGTCCTGTATTCCCATCAAAATCAGCCTCATTATCTAATACATCCATTTTTCCATTTACTTACCCATATATCTATATATATATATATACACTTATCCATTCTAAATTTCAACATCCACTTATGCATTAAACCAGATTTTTGTCATCTGTCTATTATCCGTCCATTAACTCACCTCTTTGGCGGATTCTCTTAATATTTCTTTTTAACATTATGTATGCCCATCAGTTTATTTTCCTTGCTTGTACACCCTTTCACAGTGTCTGCCAGCCTACCCAACTGGTGTCTTCTTCTTATTATCTTCCTATACAGATCGATTTGCCTCTTTCCCTCAATGTCTATCCATCTATTCATCTTTCTTGAAGCCTGCACATCTCACCGAGAGAATCACATTTTTCAGCTTCTTTTCATAGTCCACACTTAAGCCATCCGTTGGCCTTCTCTCAACGTGGCCAGTGCCGAATGACCTTTTGTCCACGGGGTTGCTAATCGACACTTCACTCAGCATGACTTTTACGGAATGCTCGGCCTGGGTTGTACGTCTTCTGCTTTATGCCTCGACCCAACAGTTGAACCGGACTGTCGACTTGTTGTTATTTTGGCTGATAACTCTTCACTCGACCATCCACCCCATTAAGCCGATCATCGTTTCTTCATACCTCATCTCATACAGCCGTCTCGACTCGGCGAAACGGTACCAACTGGTTTGGCGTCGTAGTAGCATTTATCACCCTCAACTCAGATTGCTCTGCTCCTCTCCTCTTTACGGACACTAATCATGGCTATTTCAGGCTTGCGTTTTTTCGCTTCTTCTCGCTTGACTCGTCGGCTCTGTTCTTCTACAGTCGCTATTTCTTTGCTCTTCTTTGGCGCTGAATTGTCCACAAGTTTCTGTATCCTTGGCTATTTTTCTCTCTATTTCACCTTGCGG